GGCATTGTAAAAATAATTTGTGGTTTTTGATCATTAACATCTTCAACAGTTATAATTATATCTGCATATGATGGTACTGATGGCCATAATGTAGCTTCAACATCACCATGATCTTTTGCTTCAACCATAAGTGTATAATCTCTTTTTGTTTCATAATCAAGTGAATAATCCAATAAAAATAATTCTCCTGTATCTTTATCAATTCTAAACATAGTTCTATTACCTGATTGTATAAGATCATGACCAAATAAAGTATAAGAAATTTTTCCATTAAGAAATATATCTGGATCATGAGCTTGTACACGACCAATTAATGAACCTGGTTGAATATTTTCTGGCATAATAAAATGAAAATGTTCACTTTCAAATTGTGGTACATGATCATTAACATCAAGAATAACAATAGATAATTGAATTGTTATTATATCATTATCATTGAAATCATTTTCATCTATTAATTGTCGTCTTATTGTATACATTGGTGTTTGTTCACGATCAAGTAAACGAATAACATGTAAATTTAATGTACAACTTTCATTTGTTAATAATTGTATTTCAAATGGTGTATCATGACGATGATATACATTTGATTTTATTGAATATTTTGAACAAAATGATGAATCAAATGTATCAATTATTTGTGTATGACCAATAGGAGCATCTTCTGAAACAAATAACCTTAAAAAAATTTTAGATTAATTATAAAATTAAAAAAAAGTTTTATTATAACACATACATATATGTTCGATTACGTTCAGATAAATTTGATTTATTAGATGAATTTTCATCATCAGTTCTTGTTAATGAAATCATACAGAAAAGAATCAAGACATAACTTAATGGCAACATAGTACATTTATAACAATGTTGAAATGTGATTATATATGTGGATATATATATGTAGGTATTGATGTCGTGATATAACACTTAACATTCTAATAGAATAGTTCAACAACTTCCAAATAACGACAATCGTTGTTTGATGACATTGATTTTTTATTCTTAGAACTATTGAACAATTTTTTCTTGTTACGTGTATGTATATATATATATATATCGATACCAATTATCTAGTTTATTCTTTCGTACACTTTCTTTATGGAACAAAATGAGAAAAAAAACGAATGTTGTCACCTGAAGGCTTAAATTCCTTTTTCTTTCTTTTATCGGACTAGGTTCACTCACTTGTACTATACTAAAATGAGAATAAGATATAATGCTTGAGTGCATGCGATTATTGAACTTGAAGCCGGCAATCTTTCTATGTTTGTGAACTAAATAAATAGTAAAAAATGAAGACGCAATTACATCTACAAGACATTCGACATTCGTTCAATAGGGATGTACCGCCTATCGATAGTCATTTACTTTCTCTTTCCTTCGGGTAATGAGCTCGCAAGTGTTCATTGTATACATATACATTTAACCATATACATGAAAACGACTAATTCACTAAGTATATAGACTTACTTGTTGTCTATCTGTCTGATTGTCTATACAAAAGAAGATATTTAAGAATTTATTTGTATTAACAATAGATAATTAAATCAAAAAGTCTTTTTATTTAATGATTTTTACAAGGCTTTATCTATAATAAATCTTTGAAATGCAGATTTTATTTGTTCTACTGAATACGAGCCAAAGGAAATACATGTCCTTTATTGTATAACCGATAATACATATATATATATGTCATTTTGATCGCTTAATAAAAGCAAAGAACTTGCATTTATTCGTTTGTATATAATGAAATATGAATATTCACTTGAAATAAGCGATTGAATACAAACAAAATTGATATATAAATATGCAGATTTGACAAACTACTATTCAATCACTATTTTTTAAACAATATCTCTTTCACCGTGTAGGTCGATGAAATTTTCATACATATATTGAAAAAAATTGATTTATTTGTTTCTTTTTAAATATTTATTCATTGATGAAAGCCATTTATTTATTATCATAATGTTCCAACTATTTTTTTTTTGTGATGCTTGGATCTAACAAAACATTTCTAGAAGAGACTTTTGATATTTTTCAATGAATTCTATCTTCATTTCATCGGATTATGAACAATTTCCAACAAATTAAAGTTGGATAGAAAGACAGAGTAATATATAACAGTTGATGCAAAAGTTCGTGGAAAAATGTCGCTTCGTTTTTCATCATCTATAACATGTTTTCGGAAAAATCAAAAATATCTATTCAAGATCAACATTGAATGCTCCTTCTAACTATATGTTCAAAAAAGTTTTATCATATTTTATCTTTGAATAACGAGCATATCTTTAAATAATACTAAAATATAGTCGGTAAAAAGTAATCGACAATCGCTGTAGTATAAAAAAACAGATCTTTAAGTGATATTGTGTTTTTTTTCTATCAAGTTCGTAGAGAATTGGACGACATAACCAAATGAAGAAAAAAGCAACAATATATAATGAAACATATAAGAGAAATTTGACAAATACTGGAATATCAGTTCTTTCTACCACAGCGATTGTGAATTACTTCTTACAGACTACATTTTAGTATTATTTAAAGATGTGCTCGTTACTCAAAGGTAACAAAATGCCAAAAAACATTTTTGAACATACATTAAAGAACGAATTTCAATGTAGATTCTGAATTGGTAGTCTTGATTTTTTTAAGAAATATGTTTTAGTCAATCTTTTGTATCATCCGTTAAATTGAACATATTATTATAATATTCGTCATCTTATCTTGATCATTGATTCATTTGTCAAATAATATACATAATAAATTTCTTGCGTTATTAGCCAATTAATAAATGTTATGGAAACATTTTTAACAAAAAATGAAGTTTTTTTTTAAATACAAAAACACAACAACAACAGAGCAACAATGATAAACTTCTTTTTTTTTTAATCAATTCGAACATTTAATAAAGATATTATAAGCAAAATGAGACTTTAAAAATCTTCTTTTTTTTATTGTTGTCTGTGTAATAGTTAGTTCATAGAATTGATGATTACTAAAAGAAAAAGAAAAAGAAAAAAAGAAAGAAGAAAGAAACAAGACTAAACTGTACATAAAACATTTGTTTTATTTCAACAACATCGATTTAAAATAGCATTGTTCGATGCTCCATTTGTAGTTGTAGATGAATTAACAAGTTTATTTGGATCAATACTTTCTACAATCATTGATAAACAATCAAGACTTGATACAGTCGATGTTGTATGATGTGATAATACGACTTCAGCATAATCTAAAAACAGTATATATATATATATATATATGTGTGTGTATATATCTATATATGTATATCTAATGATTGACTGACTAGAAAACAACAACAACCGTCTACATAGATGAGCAAGTATGATGATGATGATGATGATGACAGCACCTCCGCCTTACTTCGATGAGAAAGATACATATCAAACATACTGTCTTTCATTTACACAACATGTGTTCTTAAAACATCAAAAAAAAAATACATTTGCATCATCATCATCAACACGCTATTTAGCACGTTTGACGAAGCGAAACATATTATGAAGAAAAAGAAAATCTTATGATCCGTTTGATTTCTTTTTATTTTATTTTTTTTTAAATACTTATTTAACATTAATCTTTTAGAATGATCGATAATTTACATATGTAAAATCGATTATTATTCAAAGAAATATATTTTCGTTTTAAAATAAAAAATTATTCTATTAACTTACTATCAATTGTTCCATAGGCAGACGATGTTGATGAATTATTACTATAATCAGTTGTTGTCGTTGTTGTTGATGCTCCTGTTGTAGTATTATTATATTTTTCACTGTAGTTTGTCGTTGAAGATCTTGATTTTAATAACTAAATATACGTATATAAAGATCAATGTCTGGTATTTTTCTTAATGTCTAATAAAGACAATAGACGAAAATGTGCAGAATGACACGATCATTTTCTTCTCAAATATAAACATTCAATTATTGTTGATAAGAAACAAGAGTATCATGATCAAACACATTAGAATAAAGAGAATGCAGAGCATCAAACGAATAAAGAAAGAACTTGATATTAAGAATATATCATCATTGTTCTGTACGTTTCTTCTTGTTTTTTTGTTCTTAACAAGACTCATTCTGATAGATACAGTCGACTAAGAATCGACGTAAAAGAAAAAAAAAGAGCTAATGAGGAGCTCGATTTACAACTATTAAGATATTGACCTATCTTTCTTTTACTAATGTAATTAATAAAAAAAAAAAAAAGAATCTATAAAGATAATGATATGACTTTATGTTTCATGAAATATTTTGTTATTAAAATAATATAATATTATGAATATCTTACTTCATTTGTATTTGCTATTGTTGTTGTTGTTGTTGATTTTTGATCTAAATCATGTCTTAATGGTCTTGAAGTAACACCAGCTGAACGAAGTAAATCTTCTAAATTTTCAATATATTCAATAGCATTACGTAAAATTTCCACTTTTGGTAAACGTTGACTTGGATTAGGACATGTACGTCTTTTTAATGTTTCAAATGCTTCATTTACTTTACGTAAACGTCGTCGTTCACGCATTGTAGCAGCTTTTCGTCTATCGACAGTAACTGTTTTACGTTTACAAGCTTTACATGCCCATAAAAGACAACGACGAGTACCATCACATGAACCACTAGCAGATATCGATGTATTATTTGGATCAGTTGTTGAACCTGTATGTAGTTCATTTTTATGTGGTGTTAATGTTAAATTAGATTGTTCATCACATGAATGACTTGATGGAGATTGTGATCCAGCTGCTGAAGATGACATTATTGAACTTGATGGTGAAACATGTGAAATTGTTGTTGTTGTTGTTTGTAATTGTGATGGTGAATAAAAATTATTTGTATTATTAATAAGAGTTTTTTCTGAACTAAGTTCAGATGAAGGTAATGGTGGAGAAAGTGATGGTGCTCGTATATGAATATAAGATGAATTTGTTGGTTGTAAACTTGAATAATGTGGTAAAAATGATGATGATGTATTTGAAGTGGGATTTGTTGATGATGAATCAATATCATATGTGCTATATGTACGAATATTTGTTGAATATGGATTGTGCTGTTGTTGTTGTTGATGATGATGATGCTGATAAAATTGTGATGCATAAGATGGTGCAAATTGAGCAACAGCAGCATATTGTCCATCAACAGATGAATACAATTGAGTTGCTGGACTATGTGCACTGTTTGGATGAAAATAGGCACCATAAGATGAAACAGAAACAGGTGTTGGTGAAACCGATGGGCCATCACAATACTGTTGTTGACAACTGCGAAAATCTGTCATCATTGTGAAATAATTTCAAAGAATTTGAAATACAATTGAATTAGAATATATTCAATCTAACAATATGTATCAAACACAAAACAAAAGTCTATTGCTGGATTTCGTAACGATGCATCTTCTTTTTCTTTCTCTCTCGACATATCTTCTTCTTTTCTATAGTTTCCTTTTATCTGGTTGGTCGATTGAAATTGCGCTTGATGGAAGGATCGAATAGCAATTAAGAATCGTTTCTTGTCTTCTCCACTCTTTCTTCTTTCCTTCTCCCTCTCTCTCTCTCTCTCTCGTGCGGTATTGCTGATGATGTACAAGCAAACTGATAACAGAAGAAAGCAAAGTAAACGAGTAATGATGATAATGCATCGGTCGAGAACGAATCATGAAGTCAAAACAAGCAAGAAGTGTATGAAAGTACAGTTCTCCTCTTTTTTTTTCTCTTCTCAACTAAATGAAATACTTGAATAATAAAAACTGAATTCAGGAAACTTGAACAAGAATTCTTTTTTTACTATTCATTAATTATAAATTGTTTATAAAATATTTAAAAAATGTAATCTATTAAGTTAGTAAATCGAACTGGTATGTTCTGATGGCATCTATAGAAAAAAAAAACTGATCGATCATGATGTCAGAGTAAGATAAAAACAGGTGTGTGTTTGTCGAAGAAATTATTATTAGTCATTATTGTCTGTAAAAACGATTACAGTAGAAAAGACATTTATCGATTGTCAAAAGAGATAATGGCACAATCAGACTAGAGAGACGAAGAAAAAGAAGAAGAATACAATACAAATAATGATCATTCCGACGAAAGACAAGAACAAAAAATCAATTATATTCATGTCAGTAATGTATATATATGTATATATCTAAGAAATAAATGAATATCGACAATCGTTCGAAAAGCAAAAAAAAAATTTTTTTTTTGTTTTTTTTGTTTGTAATTTATTTTTTTGAATATGGGATTCCCAGATGGAACAAAAAAAATAAATAGTGAAAATGACAATAAGTAATTACTTCTTTCTTTCTTTCTCTCTCTTCTTCTCTATTTTTTTTTCTTCGTTTCTTGTACTTTTATCTCTATATGTGTTCGGTGCAACTCCCTCAGTGAGAAAACATCTAGTATGTTGGACTTCGTTAATTGATATGTTGGAGTTATATTCCACTGAGAATGATATGCATATATAGAATCGATACCGATGACTAAAGAACAAAGCAAATTAGGGTATGATTTTGGTCTCAATAACTGTGGGTGGTGGATATATATAAATACGTTGAAAGAGAGAAAAAATCTTCTTATATTGAAATGTTAAATAAACATATATGTGAATGTATGTCCTTGCTAAAAGAAAATCGCCTATGAGAATTGGGATTTATAAGATAAGAAAAAGCATTGCTTGTTAATATAGAATTACGAGTACACAAAACTTGGTAACAAAATACATATCTTATATAAATAAAACAAAACAAAATAGAAGCAGATTTATTTTTCTTGATTAATTGAAAAACATTGATAATTGTTTGAAAATAGTTGTTATGAATTGTTGATTGTTTTTTATTTTTTTGAATGTTAATGATACATCGATCGCTGATCGATTCGGCATATTCTTTTAGCTCTGAAAAACTGATACACCGTTCGTGATGGTTAGAGAATTAAAAATGCAGAGAAAAAAGCAAGCTCATTAGTTCCGGTAATCAATTGATCAACGTGTGGAGAAAAGCTAAAAAAAAAGAAGAAGAGCACCGACACGTTGATGTTTCTTCGATTTTCAAATAATATTTAATGCTTCCCAGAGGGGAATGTTCGATCAAGCAATAGAGAAGAAAAAAAAACACTATGCATCTTAAAATTCAAAATTATCATGTCTTTTTACAAGTTGATATGTGTTGAGTTAAATATGTGTTGGCAACGTTAAATTGGTATTTTTTTAGAATGATGATTGTGCAATGTGCATTAAATTTTGCAAAATATGTTGGTAATACTTTTTTGAAAAGAAAAACAAAGATCACTAGTCGACACTAGTAAGCTTATCGTGAAAATGTTTGAATAAAATTTGCAAATATATTCTTTATTGAAACTATTAAATTTTGAATATACTTTAAAAATCTTAGTGTATTCCTTTCGTGTAAGATTCTTCTTTGATTGGTGAATTACTCGTAGAATAGAAAACTTATAAATGTGGAAGTGTTATACTTCAAGGTCAAGATGGTTATCTGTTGTTTTGTAAGATATGCATTGGCCAATAGAAAAACTATATTTTCAATTGGAAAGTTTGTTTTTTTTTTGTTCTCTATCGGTAATTTGTTGTGGTAAAAACAATGAATTTAAGAATGTAAAAGAGCTATCATTATTTATTTCACAACTTCTGATCATTCAGTGTTATTTGTCTAAGTCCAAAAAAATTTTATCAAACTGTTACTTTTCTTAAACGAAGTTACACAAAAGTAATTATATTCTGAGGAGAATTTTACTCATGATGAAATGCGAGAATAATCTTTCATTATTATCGATCAATTTTATATATCATATTGAACTTACACTACGTGGTTGTCGAAATTATTTTAGATTAACAAAAGATCAAATAATTATTGATTAACTAATGATTTCACAATATATGTGAAGTTCATTTAAAAAACATGCACATAATTTTTTATGAATAAATGTTAAAAAAAATCATGCAGAGTAATCAAAAGTCATGTCTTATTAATACTTTACATGACTGTAGATCTATTCAAATAACCCGATGTGGTGTTATTGATGAAATAGATCTCTCTAGAATACTATATTCTGATTTAAATAACACTTAAGCGAATAATTAGAGCCGTGTTTAGGATTTATTTAGAGACTTTTTCAGATTTAACTGTGAGTCTTGATATTCATTTTGATGTCGAATGGCAAAACTAATAATACAATTGACGAGCAGTGACTAACTGAAAATGATAGTGAAGAGAAAACCAAGGTGAAACAACCAGATGAGGATGCGTAATGACTCTTTCGGCCTATGATTTTTCTTCTAGTACAATGAAAATAAGATGTTATATACAACGAAAGATAAATCCCGATAACACTTTGTTGAACATATTCTGAGGCCAGAGGTCGCGTCTATTTCTCCATCTACTACTATTTTTATGGCCCTCGTCTAATGTATTTGTTTCTTAGTAAAAATAGCTTGACTGGTGTAATTTATGCAAAATTAATTCACAAATCATCCAGAACCGTACTAAATATTAAAAAATTCAATCAGATGAAGTTTTTGCAAGACCCAATGTAAATCTGGTTCATGTATGAACCATTTTTTTTTCTAGTAATATAAAGTTCAAGTATCGTTTAAATGAGGAAGTAGTATTCTGAAGACCTATTTCATTAGCTACAGTATGCAGGGTAGTCTATATACGAATCATAATATCATTAATTAATTGATCATTATTCGGTATTTAGTTAGTCTTAAAATCATTTCGACAATCGATGGTAGCTTTGACACGACATATGCAAGGACTATTGACTAAATATGTGATATCTATTTCTAGTCATATAATATCTAGTTCTTTTTTAAGAGCTTTTTATTTCTGATTTGCTGAAGACTGTAATTGATCATAGAAAAAAGTTAACAGAACTATTGCTGTTTGTGTTTGTATTCATAATGAATGTTTCAATATTTTCATTTTATTTAATATAGTAATAGCTAAGGATTCGATTGATAAGAATATTTCAAGTAACACACGTGTTTTAAATATTTTTAAAGCAGTTGTAATTTCGAAAATGTCTCTGTTACGAGTTAATATTAACAAATAATAAACCAAATGATTTTCTTTTCGACCATATAATAAATGATTTATATTTAATTCCGATTTGATATAAAAAACCATACTTAATATTTAATTGGAATTAGAACATTGTTTTACACGTTAACTATGATTTCATATTAGATTGAAAATTTGATATATATGATTATAAAGAATAAATAACAATAGATAAGAAAAATCTATTAATCTTTAATATACAGTAGAGAAAAAATTAGTTTCTTCATGAGTTTTCAATGAACATTGAGAATTTCTCGAAAGAACAACGATTCTTCCTATATAGAATTCAATCGATATGTCTCAATACTAGAAAACAGCATGACCAAGTTTTTTACTCACAACAGTTCTTTCTAATATACCATGCAAAAGCCTTTGCGAAAATGTCAAACTCTGTTATATCATATTACCGACTTCTAATTCAGGAAAACTTTTTTTTATTAGGAACAGCAATGTCTGACCAACAGATCTTGTACCAACCATAGTTTTTTAGAACGAGCCTGACAAGGAGAAAACGCTCAAAACTAAACACTTCTAAAAAGGTTCTTGCAACGTTTATCCAACTTGAAAAATCTGCATTTCTAAATTATTTTGAACTACATAAAAGAATCAAATTGGAATAAAATACGTCACAATGTAGTGCATCAAAAATTCTATTAATATCAGCGACCATCTCCAGAAATTAGGCATGAATTGAATTCTTTTTGCGTTATTTATTCGAAATATTTCAGATCATAGAAATGTAGTAGAAAAAATAATTCAAAAAATATTTTTTTATCGTTGCAAAATGGCCAGGTAATAAAAATGATCAACTTACTCAGCGTCTTTTTTTTTAGAAATAGCTATATTTTGGTATAAAAATCAAGAGTAAATTTAACTTCTAATATACTATTGAAAAGAGCACTCTCTTCACTACAAGAATCAATATTTGAAGTGTTGTTTCATTTCTTTTCTGATTAAAAAAAAAATTAACAGAAAACAAAAATGCTGTTGCTTGATGGTGCAGTTGTATGAACTTTTTTGATGGTGTTTGGTTTTGAACTTTTTCTTCTCATCAGTTTCGTTTGAAAACTATGTTTGATACAAAATTTGCAGGTCAGACATTGCTTTTTCTAGCAAAAAAAGTTTTCTTGATTGAGAGGTCAGCAATATGATATAACAGAAATTGACATTTTTGCAAAAACTTTTGCACCGAATATTAGTTATTACGACCTCTTTTCGTAAACAATCTATATATTTGACGAAAGCTAAATATATATCGATTCTATTGTTAGCAGCAAGAAGATTATTTTGTAGCGAAAAGAAAGAAAAGAAAGATTTATAATATTAAATAACAAAATATATCTCATCAAGTGAAAAATGAGCAAATCCTCTCATGCGAAGTTCCTTTGTTCCATAGGCTATAGCTTTGGAAGTAGACTTATATTAAAATCAACTTTTACCTGGATCAATAGCAAGATTTATTTTTTTCGCACTTTAATTAGAGTGGGTATTTTGGACAAATTGAATCTTTATTTTTGCCGAGTAATTATTATCTTAGGAAAGGGTAGGTGAGGAAGTTAACATATTTCGAGCTAAAAAAGAGTTGAGATGATAATTCATTGTTATTGGCATTCGGGATAAATGAATAAATTATCAAAACAAGTCAAAAAAAAAAAGATTATTTGTTTTGTAACAGTCTAATACATATAAAAGAAAGAAAGGATGCATGATTATTATAGTATACGTGACTAATTTCCGGTCAGGGTCATGAACTTTTAAAAACATAGGTCATGATAACAGTCGTGATCACACGTCATGGCGATCTCTACTCAATACTAATCTCAAAATTCTTTTCTACACTGATGAATATAGTATAAGATGACAACTAGACCATATTGTGTTATTTTCTTCGAACTTGTTTTTATCAAGTACTATTAGAAATGCTTTATCAATGGTTAATCGAAATTAACCATCAATTTCACAATAAGTAAACAATATTGAGACGACTGTTGGCATCCGTAGTTTGTTTTCCAACAATTCTTATTCAAATTTATCATAATTATAATATGATTAGTTTCTAATATGACAGTAGACATAAAAGTCAACATTATGAAGAAAAATATAGAATAAACGAAAAAAAAAGTTTATGTATTTCATATAAAAATAATTTATTTCACACGAAAAATATTTTATCTCTACGATGATAATTTTTATCTAGTCTTTCATACTAGATATGTTGAATGCATTCATAGTTGTAATAATTATTAAAACAAAGAAAATCAAGATCAGCATGATGTAAAGACAAACTTTTCATAAAACATAACGGAAGAGGAACATTTTTGTGTGTGTGCATTTTCATTAATGTCTCAAAACAAATGTTTGGCTTTGTCTAAAAATATCACAGTTGGAAGCTATATTTTATCAAAAAATAAACCAGAGAAAACTTAAAAATACTTCAGTAACTGATGTCGTCATTTGGCTCGATAAATAATTTCGATTGAATACGCACAATATCAAATATGATTTATTGTTATAATTCGAATAGATAGAGACAACATTTAAAAAAAGCCACTAGATAATAAATATGCAATGACGAAACAACAATAAAATACTTTCCCAGATTCAAAACTCATTAATATATATATATATATATTCACAGCTCTTTTTTCTTTAAATTATAAACGATTATCATCCTCTATCAACATTTCGAAAATACAATATTTAGATTTATGAAGAAACGAAAAGAAAAAAAAACAAACAAATAATGAAATTAATTGAAAGAACGTTACGGTACAACAATTATGAGTAATATTGATATATATATATATGTATATTTTGGTTTTTTTTGTCGGTTATAGATCTTGTCGTAATGTATTATAATACTTATTATTTAAAATTTTTCTTTTCTTCTTAATCAGCCAAAGGTACATGTTCAATTTCATTGTCTGGTGGTCGTTGATAACCTGGATTGCTAACAAGATAAAGAATAATAGCAGCAAATACAAGAACAAAAAAACCAAAGACATTAATTAAATTTCGTTGATGTTTTAAATTATCACCAGGATAAATGTCTTTACTAAAAAGCAAATAAATAAATAAATATAAATATAATTCATTTCAATAACTTACAAAATACTATATTCCGTAATACCCATTAGAACAGCTCCAACAGCAAGACTGAAAATAGCTTTACCCCAATATTTATGACTAAACAAAACAAAAAAAAACAATGTAAAATTCATTTTCAAAATTCAATCAAATTTCATATTTACCTTGGCATATAAGCTTTACGAATCTCTTCACTTAGTTTTGGAAATAGAAAACTAACAAAACCACATACCCATTGAGTACCAAATAAAATAACAGCTGTAAGACCAACCCATGAATGAAGTGAATAAAGATTTGGTTTAGGTGGAGTATCTAAATTATGACTATCAAAAACAGCTTTAAGACCAATTGATGCAAATATAAGTGAAAGTGCCAGTAAAGATCCATGAAGTATTTTAACACGAAGTTTTTTAACATCACGAAATACTCGATAAGCCAAAATAGCTTTGAAAAAATTTATTTTTATTTTTCAAATAAATATATATATATATTTGTACATAAAACAACAACTTACCATCACCATAGAAAAAAATCATACCCAATGTCATAAATAAAGGATGATAATTAAATTCTTTATGAATATCCGACTAAAATCAAAAGAAATTGAAATTAATAAATAATATTCAAAAAAGAAAAATGGTAACTAACTGTCCATGCAAAACCACCACGATATTGACCAAAAAAAACGGCTACAAGAATAACGGCAGTAACACCAACGATTTGTGAACTTAATACCATGAAAGAAAACCATTTTAATGTAACACGTGTTGAACCAATTTCATCAAAAGTTCCTTTACCCATTGCTCTTAACGTTAAGAAAACAAAAATCTACAAGAAAATAAAGAAGATTCTTTTCTCAATCAAAAACTACTTCTAACGAGCAAACAAAAATATTAATAACTGTTCTAGAGCATCTGTTTTTTTTTCTTTGTCTTCGAATCATCAGAACAAAACAAAAAAGTGTCCTCGTCCTATTTACTCATGTTCATGTTTGTATAAGCTATAAAAAGGAAAATTCTCTACATCAAATAAATAATAATCTATATGTTTATGACGTCAATCAATTGATTGACTATTTATGGAAATATGGAACGCATCATCATTAGTAGAAAAAAAAAAAAAA